TCTTGTAGACCAGGCTGACCTCGAATTCACAGAGATCCGCCTGCCTCTGCATTCCGAGTGCTGGGATTAAAGGTATGCACCACCACCGCCTGGCTAAAGCACGTATTTTCAAAGGGGCGGGGAGGGGGGAGCAATGTAATACTGGTTACATGGATTAGAAGGAAGAAATGCTATTGACTGTATGAACTTGTATGAACATTTGGTATTTTGATACCAATCTTAAAGATTTACCACCATCCTAATCTTATTTACCATTCATCTTCCCCAGCGTCCAATATTGTTTTAGGGGGGAAAAAAACTTCTTAAAATAACATGTTGGCAAGTTACCGATAGAACATCCCCATTGTCTCAATGTGTGGGTGCACCCCTCGCGGTCCTGAGTTCCTTGCTCGTGATCTCTCTCCATCTGCTCCTGATTTGGACCTTGAGATTTCAGTCCGGTGCTCCAGTGTGGGTCTCTGTCTCTGTCTCCTTTCACCGCCTGATGAAGGTTAATATTCAGGAGGATGCCTATATGTTTTTCTTTGGGTTCTCCTTCTTATTTAGCTTCTCTATGATCTCTAATTATATGTTCAATGTCCTTTATTTATGGTTAGAAACCAAATATGAGTGAGTACATCCCATGTTCCTCTTTTTGGGTCTGGCTTACCTCACTCAGGATAGTGTTTTCTATTTCCATCCATTTGTATGCAAAATTTAAGAAGTCATTGTTTTTTCCTGCTGAGTAGTACTCTAATATGTATATATTCCATACTTTCTTCATCAATGTTCACCTTACTAGACCTGGATGGAGGTGGGTGGTCCTTGGACTTCCCACAGGGCAGGGAACCCTGATTGCTCTTCGGGCTGATGAGGGAGAGGGGTTTGATCAGGGGAGGGGGAGGGAAATGGGAGGCGGTGGTGAGGAGGAGGCAGAAATCTTTAATAAATAAATAAATAAGTAAAAAAAATAACATGTCGGCAGTAATCCTCCCAATCCCCTACACAATTTAGATGACTCTATAAAGAGAGTCAGTCTATAAATTGGTTGCTTAAGCATAACCATCTTCAGAATCACAAAGAACAGTACACGAAGAAACAAGCGGCAGGTGCTTTCAGCATTCAAAAGAAGACATAGCAATTCTAATTTTATTGCACTTGCTCTGCTTTGGATCATGGTCTGTGCTCCCTAGGTACCCGTGTTGGCACTTTGCTCCCCATGAATCGGTTATTTCTTTAGATAGATATTAAGAGTTGAATTTTGATACATAATCCTGAGATAATGAGAGGCAGTACCGTCTGGAGTAAATATTAGTTCTTGGGAGGGAGTTCCCTGGATAAATAATTGTTAAAGTATATAGCTTAACCTCTGTCTTAAGGCTGTGTTTCCTATGTGGCCATGTGATCACTTTTTGTAAAAATATAATGGCTATCATGCTGTCATCATGAAATCATCACTAGAGGCCAAAGACCTGGGAACATGACGTTTTGGGGGTTTAGTTTCTAAAGCTTCCAGTAAATAACTCCCATTTCTTTAAGAAGACATATTTTCAATATATATTTTTAGCACAACAAAATGTAGTGATGTTGTGTTTAAATCTTTTAAGTCTATTTTCTCTATAACTGCTGGCAATATCTTATTGCTTTACTTCAAATGTAAATACTTTCAACTGTAAAGACCCTGTCTCTACAGTAACTTTTACTATATCAATTTAATGCTATCTTAAAAATCACAATAATCAAAAGCATAAAAATATTTGATACCATTACTTTAAACAATACTATGGGACTGTGAAAAAATCAACAAATGATGTTGCCAAAGAAATCCAGTGACTTCTCAAGTTTAGACTCAGAGATTCAGCATATGTCATGGCCCCCACTGAGTTCTGTATTAAATTACTCTGTGACCTTCACCTTGAGGAAGTTACTTGGTTTTTCTTGTTTCACAGTTTTTCTTTTCAATAAATTAAAAGAAAAGAATAAATGGGAAAGGGATTACTAATCCTTATCACTCTAGAACATTATGGAGGGCATTAAGTCGTACAGTTACAGCTCTCCATGCCTCATATAGAAAATCGTCTTTTAAAGACTTATATGATTTTTATATTGATGGGATTTTAACCTTGCTGGTGTGTGACTCCTGTGAGTTTAGATCTCTGTGATTGGCAATTTGTTTGGTACATGGGTGAATTATGGACCCACTAAACTTCCCATTTGTAAGTCAATATAAGTAAATGTGACCTTCAGCTCTTTAAAGATCAAGTGAGACAGCCTTAATGTTAACCCATTGTGTCATCTAACTAGTCTCCCTTACAGGTAGGAAAATATTTCCTTTATTTTACTGAATTTAAATGTGTGGCAAATAAAGGACATTATTCATAACATAACAAATACATTCCTGATTAAACTTTAATGCTAGTAAATTCTATTTAATATTGTGTGCTTCCAAAAATTAGATTGGAAACATAAAATTAATATGTTCCCACATGCACAAGCTACAGAAATGTATCCTCAGTAGCATGCTCTTTTAGTAAAATTCTTATCACACTGGTGAATAATCAACCCTGACACTCAAACCTCAACTACTTAAAGATCCTCAAAAATGAAACATTAGTGATGTGTTTGGCAAATTTATATATAAGATAAACATAATATAAAATTTATTTTACTAACCCACATAGATTCTACTTTTTCTAATATTTACTGATTAGCTAAATTAAAAGGAAGATTTAGTTGTGTGTTATTTAATAAGTAAAAATAATATAAAAAGCAGGCATAAAGCTATTACAAATTTATCCAAAGCTAAGGAATGGGGTAGGATAGCCACCTACCATGTGCAAGGGCCTTGGTTCCATTCACAACATCACAAAAGGAAAAAGCTGAGACAAAACTATGCCTTATATTAGCATGCACAAGATATAATAAATGGAAGATTAAAAGTCATAATGGCTTAAAGAATTACATGTACCAGTAATTTTAAATAAAATCTCACACTTAAATAAGAATACTAAGACTAAAAATTGCATTTTAAGCTTTAATGAATATATATTAGGGAAGATATTTAGAGATATAATAACAGTGCTTATGCATTGAAGATGATTATTTTAAAGCCAGTTGTACATAGTCAAATTTTATTATTTGTACAAATCTATAAGGTTTTTTTACTCTTTTTATATAACTAGAAAACTGATGCTAAAACGAATATCTTTTTATTTTCATATGACTTTAAAGTAAAGTAAAAGTTAAGCTGAAATTTTAAATTAAATGTATTGCTTTAGACTGGCTCTTTTCTCAGACTTTTCATCTATAAACATAATTTTTGTCTGAGTGAACCCCTCTTATAAAATTTACAATAATTCTGAACTTTGTGATGAACTAAAAAATAAGTGTAGTCTAAGATTACATTCTGTGGCTAAGTCATTCTACCTTTCTGTGCTGTGGATATGATATGCTCTTATCACTATTATCCTTCTACACTTATCTGTGCTCATGATAGAACTTATTGTTTGTTTCCATAATAGTAAAATTGATCAAATCTGTATAGCAATTGTAGTGACTTATCACAATATTCCATAAATATATTTTTCCAGTTTAATTTTAAAATTTCAATTTATTTCTTTATATGTATGTTTTTCTTTTTATCATCCATTTAATGATTGCATCTATCTATTTAGAAATATACAGGATTGTGTGTGTGTGTGTATACTAATAATCAATGAATGAAAAAGAGAAGAGGCCATGGAATTGAAAGAGAGCAAGGAGGTGATACAGGAGAATTTGGAAGGAGAAAAGGAAAGTGGGGAATGACGTAATTAAAATAAATTGTGAAAATACATGCCATATGAAGGCTATTACTTGAACTTTCAAACAATAAATCAAAGTTAGGCTGAGATAACCAGGTGACTAAGTTTACTCATACGTACAAGAGATTCAGTATACACATTGTCTCATTGAACAAAAGCAAGTGGTAGCATTTAGAAGTCTTAAACCAGACTGAATATGTGAAAATCAGTGATCTTTTATTCCATTTTTCTTTATCATTTAGTACAAAGAAGTTATCCAGGAGGGCAGTTTGCCTTTGTCGAATGACTTAGGCGATTTCAAGTTGCTTCCGAAGAAAGCTTTCATCTTTTCTATAAAGTAAACATGACGGGCTTTCTGCTAATAATAATGGCTGCTATTGTCCTTAAAGGTCACTGCCAACTGTGTAATCTGAATCTTCACCATGGCATTACTATGACTTTTCAATGTATGCAACTCAGAATCACACCTATTAGTTCTAACTTCTTCACATCTTCCTCTCTTGCATCGTATTCACTGGTAACCATATGTCTCCGTTTGCTTACTATTGCTATGGGAAATACAATGACCAAAACCACTTGGGTAGAAAGGGGATTATGTGACTTAAAGATTACAGTCCCTCATCATAAAAAAACTGTGACAGGAGCTGAAGGCAGGAGCGTGAAGGTAATTTCTGAAGCAAAGACCTTGGGGGTCAATCATACCCAAAACTTATTCAATTGTTCTTCAAGGCTCCTTCAGCTTTTTTTTTCATCTTTTTATTTTTTTTAATTATTTATTATATATACAATGTTCTGTCTGCATTTTTGTCTGCTCACCAGAAGAGGGCACCAGATCTCATAGATGGTTATGGGCCACCATGTGGTTGCTGGGAATTGAACTCAGGACCTCTGGAAGAGCAGCCAGTGCTCTTAACCTCTGAGCCATCTCTTTAGCCCCCAGCTTTAATTTTTAAAAATTAAAATATACTTATATTATTTTCTCCACATTCTACTCTCTACTTCACTACCTATATACTTTTTTTTTTCTCTCAAATGTATGGCCTCCTCTTCTTTAATGATTGCTGTTGCATATATATGTAAATTAATAAATATATAAATACCATCTGCTGATTACATTTTTACAAATGTCTGAAACATTTCCCTAGGCACAATACCACCCATAGTGATCTATCCCTTCCCATATCAAACATTAATTAAGAAAGTGTTCCACAGACTTACCCACAGAGCAACCTGATGGAGATATTTTCTTTAATCAGCACAGTAGAAAAACATTTGTTTAAGCTGGGATTCCTTGCATTATGGTGGCAAAGTTGAGTTAATTATCCAATTTATGACTCACTTAAGGCCTCTCTATGAAAAGATTTTAGGACACATTACTAGTTAATATTTTATTTGCCCAAACATTCCCTAACAGTGCATCAATATACAAACAAGATTTCAGTATTGAAACACACATTTTTCACTGCAAACTAACTCTTATTGGATATACCCAAAATCCTACAAAATAGTCTTACCCAGCCTTATATTAGAGCATATTTTTGCAGAAATTTTAATTACCATCTATATGCATTGGTAGACATAAGAATAACATAATCTTTAAATCACAAAGTTTCAACAAACAGGGTATGTTTCTACCTCTGCTACACCATTTGACAAATACATAGTGCCAAAGCAGTAGAGATTATGGCCAGCAAGTGTTCATTTCAACATGCTTCCTCCCCAAATCTCTATTCCCACATCAGTTCACGAATCTATTTTCTCATACTCATTATCCAAGTATCTTTTTTTTTCCATTTTTTTTTATTGAGAATAAGAAAAAAAAGTTTCTGCCTCCTCCCAGCCTCCCATTTCCCTCCCCCTCCCCCCAATCTTCTCCCCCTCCCCCCTCTCTTCTCCCCCTCCCCCCACTCCTCTCCCCCTCCCTCTCCTATCCAAAGATTAGCACTCATAATCATTAGGGAGAAAATACACAGAGAATACTCCTGGGAATCTTGAGGTAAAACACATTACTGCTGAAAAACTCTTGTGCCAAGGAGTGCTAGAAGATCCTGATTCTGTAGTCCCCAGGGCCTGTTTGCCCTTTACCATGTGGCAATGTTTTATTTATTTATGAACATACGGAATTTTCAAAGTATTCTAAGAACATGGTGTGAGGCCATTCAGTTCTCGTGAGAGAATATATAAAAGTTACAGTGAATAAAAAAGAAGAAAACTTTCTAAATCTTGAATATTTTGAGAGCAGATTCAAGGTTTCTGTTTTGTAAAAGAAATTGATGAATTAATAGAGATTGCATTTTGCATTTTACAGTCTTCATCTATAAAGCAACTAAACAAGGAAAATCTATTGCATGGAGTTTAAGCCATGAATAAGGAAAAACACATCATTAAAACACATGAATTCCTGGGCAGTACTCCCCATAGATCTTTAACATATAAAAATGCTTCATATTAATCTTTTGTTTTAACTTTTTTCTTGATCTGAGGGTAGGAGAACAATGAATTGGACCTAGGGCCTGTACTAGGTAGAAAGTACTCTACTACTGAGCTTTATTCTCACATCTCTGAACACATATTATCCACCCTCTTCGAAAGGTGTGTCAATGGAAGAGAGTATCTCTTGTTTCTATTTATCAAATCCAAGATGTTGTTCTCAGCTTGCCGCCAGTGAACATGTTACAAGTAGTTAAATGAGTAAAAAAGGACAATGGAGGAAATTCCTTTTAGCTGAGGTCTCTTACCTACAGTTCCGGTAATACTTGTTCATTCACTGTCATATAAGAATCATCTTCTAATTATCTGACGATTTGGAAATGAGGAAAATTTTTCTTTGACATGTGGTAACTTTCTGTAAATCTGTTGGTTAAGTGAGCATGTCATTCCCTCAAGCTTTCCAAACAATGATACTATGACTCAGCATATCACTACTTTTTTTTCTTAAGATAATTATTGAATATTTTACAACACAGATGGTACAGTAGAGACAAATTTCTGTAAAAACAAGCACACAAAAAAGAAATTATATAAGCCACCAAACACAGAGTCCAGATAGGAACACATACTACATTGGAGTATATTATCATACAGTTTGGTGTTTACCAAGAGTTCTGAAATCTTTTAAAAATTGGTATTTTCTGTGTTTCTGAAGCTGCTTTAAAGCAAAATATCACCAATAGCAAAATACAACTGCATAGTACTTATTTATTACCAAACACATATTTAAAAAAAAAAAGATGGCAAGGGTTTGCCAAAAGTATGAAATATGAGTTGCTTCATACAGAAGATAAATGATTAAGCCAAAATTACAATATTATAAACTAATATCTGTAAACTAAGTTTCTAGTTAATAGGTTGGGATATATACTATAATATAATATTAATAGGATATATCTGCTATGCTGTGTTCATTTTATTTATGAACAAAGAAAAATGTGTATATTAACTATTCATATCTCCTTATTCTATATGGTGATATGAAGTATTTTATTATTAAAATAAAGCAACACAAAATTTAAAGATAAATAATATATTTAATACAAAATGAAAAATATGTAATTTCCATTTCATTCTATTATTATATTCTGCCAAAAATCTTCAAAATTATATTCTTTATTTTTATTTCCTATTATTTAAAATTGTTTAGTGGAAACTAACTAGTCTAGACCAAATAGTCCAGCTTTTAAAGAAAATTGCAATATGATAATTCTTCTAAATACCCTCTTCTAAATACCAAGAATCTTTTTATGTTCTTATGTTCTTTATCTGTACATACATTTTAAGGAATAGTTTTTTGGAAAAGCAATGTCACATTGAAGCTATATACATTCTTTGTAAAATTAGTCTAGCATTTGATTGAATATTAGCTTTCCTTAATTAAAGAACTATGAACACTTATGGGCTATATTGAAAACTATATGTGAAACAAAAATGACACTTAATTATAGTATTCAGCCAGGAATTTTTGTTCAATAAATATTTTTGTTATCAAAGAAGTAACAACTGAATATGTATTTGATTGCCACATGATAGCTTACTGGCTAAAGTTTCAGCATGACTGTCTCTAGTCGCTCCATGGCATCTCTCTAACTCGGCCTTCCTCCTATGCTTATAGGCTAAGTCAGTTCTTTATTCATTAACCAATCAAAGAAGTAACATAGACAGAAGGGCTTCTCACACCATTTCCCCTTTTCTGTTTAAATAAAAAGGAAGTCTTTAACTTTAACATAGTAAAATTACATATAACAAAACAGTTATTAAGCAAGAATTACAATATTTATATCTATTTACTATCTATTCTTCAACTCAATCAAAGTCTCCAGAAGGATATAATATTACCTAAGTAAACAGGGAATGTGTTAGAAGCTACTTCCAGAGATCTAGGATTGACAGAGACATCTTGCTGCCTGGACTCAAAGTTCTTCTGTACTGTTGCGGCATCCATCTTCAGCCTACAGGCCCATAGTATCCAACAGACTTTTCCACAAAGCAGGAAATTTCAAAGACAGTTCTATCTATATTGGCAGTTTGTCAGTCACTTTTCTTCTGTGCTGGTGTGGGAGGTTCTTCTGTCTATTTGTTGCTTTTATGGTTAATGAATAAAGAAACTGCCTTGGCCTGTTGATAGGGCAGAACTTAGGTAGGTGGGGAAAAGTGGACTGAATTCTAGAAGAACAAAGGTGGAGGAAGAGATGCTGCGGAGTTGCAACCATATTCAGACGTGCCAAAACTGCCTGTAAGCCACTCTCATGTGGCAATACAAAGATTAGTAGAACTGGCTTAAATTAATATGTAATCATTAGCCAATAAGGCTAGAGTTATGGGCCAAGCAGTGTTTTAATTAATATAGGTTTNTTTTTGAATTTTCGAGACAGAGTTTCTCTGTAGCTTTTGGTTCCGGTCCTGGAACTAGCTCTTGTAGACCAGGCTGGCCTCAAACTCACAGAGATTTGCCTGCCTCTGCCTCCCGAGTACTGGGATTAAAGGCGTGCACCACCACCGCCCGGCATTAATATAGTTTCTGTGTGATTATTTCAGGTCTAAGCTAGCTGGGAAGCAGGGAAGAACAAGTTGCCCCTTTTCCTACAGATTGGTGCACCAACATGGTGGTCTAAATTCATGTAAAACCTGAGAGGGCTTGAAAAGGAACTCTAGACAGTAAAAAATGTTAAAGCCTTCCTTTTTGTTTAAACAGAAAAGGGGAAATGGTGTGGTGTGAGAGGTTATTTTGTCTATGTGTTACTTTTATTGGTTAATGAATAAAGATGAATAAAAGAACTGTCTTGGTCTGTTGATAGGGAAAAACTTAGGTAGGTGGGGAAAACTGGACTGGATGCTGGGAGAAGGAAGGCAGAGGGAGAGACACCATGGAGCTGAGGCCAGAGTCTTTACGTGGCTTATTAATTTTTCTGTCATTTTAAAGGCTTTACTTTTTTAAAAGAATTAACTTTATTTTATGACTCTCTCTACTGTTTTTCTTCTCTCTTTTAAGCCCACATACATTTATCCAATGCAATGACTCATCTGTATTTGTCTTTATTGCATATTTCTAATTCTTTACTGTCCAAGAGTGTTTTTTAAAATGCTAAGCACATCTTAAAAACTTTAGCTGTGCCTTTTCTAGAAGAAATATGTCACTGTCTGCTTACCCCACCCAGTCCAACATGGTATAGCTGTTCTGTTTACTGCCTCTGAGCAGTGTATACCACCCCAGTTCCAAGTATGCAATGGTATATGTTGAGCCATTAAGCAGCTGTAACAGTCTGCTCACAAACCCCATTTAGATATTCTATAGCCAGACCTCCAGAAAGAGACAGAGTTTACACTGACACCATGACCCAGAAAGCCGGCATTTCAAAATGCTTGTTGGTTCCCAGCTCTTGTCTAGCTTAGACAGGAAATAATCACAAAGAAACTGTATTATTTAAATCACGGTTTGGCTCATTAACTCTAGCTCCCTATTGGCTAACTCTTACATATTAATTTAGCCCATCTCTATGCATCTGTGTATAGCCACATGACAGAGGCTTACTGGCTAAAGTTTCAGCATGTCTGTCTCTGGTAGCTCCATGGCATCTCTCTAGTTCTGTCTTTCTGTTCTCCTTCTATAGGCCAAGTCAGTTCTTTATTCATTAAACAATAAAAGCAACACACAGTCTGAAGGACCTCTCACACCATCTATCACTTCTACTTGCTATTACTTATCCTTACATAACATTTCAATGGAATGATATACAAGTTACTCAATGATTAAAAATCAATTTTGTTCAAAAATCTAGCAAACCTCTACTTCACACTATTGTTTGATAAGTTACTATCAGGTATTAGGAGATAGAAGCTGATATATTTTTTTTCATAAATCTACATTGTAATTTTGTTGTACATATAAAATTAGTTATCCATTTTGTAGTCAATGAACAAGAAATTTATCAAGGTAATATCTTATGTGATTATGATGACCATTTAGGATCTAATAATCTGTAATGGATCGCTTTCATACAAAAATTGTTAGCCTCACTCTCTCAGCAGAAATTGTCTGTAGCTTTTTATCTAGGAGTGTGGGTCTTGTGAAATTTTCCAAACATACATGGTCAAATGTTGGTGGTCTTTTCTTGACAAACTATTGTCAGGGTGTAGCATTCAAGTATTGTTAAGAAAATGATGTTTCCAGATGGCCATCCTTGTTCTTTCGTTGTTTTCACCTCTTCGTCCATAACTCTCCATGGGCTTTTTATGTATGGGTAATTTTGTAGGAGTATTAATTAATGCTGAGTGCTCATAGTCTCTTGTTATCTACACACATTGATAATGTCCAACAAAATCTGTTTGTAGTATGTAGTTTTATGGGAGGACTAGAAAGTCACCACAGTCATTGATTGGAGAGTCTAAAGTAAACAATCCATCTCTAGAGCTGAGATGAAAAGGAAAGATAATGATGCTTTAACGAAGGTAAATAGATCTTTGGATGCCAACTTTGGAACACTAGAAAGAATAAAGAACTACATAGCTGTGTCTTTGCCCAGTGAGGCTTTTAACTTTTAATCAACTAAACCTAATTTGAGTGGCCCAAAGCTCAGAATAGATTCTTGACATAGGCTATATCTAGCTGAGTTTATTACTGCAATTGTCTTTTATTAGCTTTGATGAGCAATTATTGTAATTATTGTCCCCAGTTCACCCCAGGCTTTGTGGTAGACTTAGGACACCAAGATTCTCTTTGTTTTATTTTTAAAATAAACAGAGAATTGCTTTCTGAAATGTTAGCATTTGCAAAGTTTAATTTTCATTGTGAAAATCTGCCTATCTCTCAATTCACCATCCTCTTGCCTAACTCAGGATTTCTGATCATATGAGGAAGTGTTATGGGTTATGGTTGTATTGTCAAAACTAGGTAGGATACTTAGAAGATTTATATGCAGTTAACTAACTGAGAAGCTCATCCAACTTCAGAAATTTGCTTTTACTTTCTAGATACAATGAGCCAAAGTGAAGATTTAAACTGAAAAACCGAAATATTTTATTTCTCTGAAGAGCTGTTGTCACTGAAATGTAAAAAGATGAAGTAGCTAATTAACCTTACTCTATTCTGATATGTAGCATATTTTTTTAGCCTTTGAAATATGATGTTGGATAGTTTTGCCATGATTCTGGGTTTCAGTTTCTATGACTTTGATACTGCTTGTGATTTTCTTTCTGATATAAGATCCTCCATTGTGTCATAGCTTCTTTACAACAATTGTTAACACTCTCTTAACAACTCTCCTTTAACATCCCTCCCTTGCTTCTGTTCTAAACTCTGTCTGCACTAAATGCAATATAAATTCCTGTCATGTAAGTACATTTCTTTTTCTATTATTTTT